ATCTATCTATCCCCATCCACCCCCTCGATCGATCTATCATTGCCCCCTCCCCATGGATGCAGCCTCCCAGGTTGCCTGCTCTGAGGGAAGGGGACCTGGTGCCCCAGGGATGCTGCCTTGGGGGGTTCACGCTGAGTCGGTGCTCACCTGTACTGTGGTCCCTTTCTCTCCAGACACTCGTATTGCCCTACTGGCTGGGAGTGGCCAATGAAGACATTTTCATAGTCGCTGGCCTGGCCGGGGCCCGTCTCTGCGTTGCGGCTGATGTAGCGCGGCTGGCCGTGGGGGATGGATGCGGTGGATTCCCGCTTGCTGTGGATGACAGAGGCCTGTCTCCTCCTCCTGAGCAGGAACAAGACCACACCCAGGCCCCCCACCAGCAGCAGCACGGCCAGCAGTGAGCTGGTGATGGCCACGCAGAGCGGCGTGCAAAGAGGCTGGCACTCCTGCGTGTTGAACTCGGTGACGTTGACGATTCCCTCCCCTGAGAGGCAGTGGCAGGTGCGGTTCGTGCTGTTGGTGGGGCTCCTGCAGTGGCTGACCACGCTCCCCACGACGTCGCACTTGCAGTCCACGACCAGGCTCTGCAGGCTGCGCGGGAAGGCGCTGGCTGGGACTGAACGCAGCGGGTTGCCCTGGAGGCTCAGGCTCCGCAGGTTGGTGGCGTTCTTGAAGAACTCCGTGGGTAGCTCCCACAGCTGGTTGTGCTGCAGGTAGAGACGCTCGAGACCACGTGCCTGGGAGAGGAAATCCCGGGGAAGGCTCTGCAGGCAGTTAAAGGACAGATCCAGCATCTCGACCGACCTCCCCACCTGGGCGGAGCCATTGATTTCCTTGATGCCACAGTTGCTGAGGTTCAGCGAAGTCTTGCTACTGAATTCCGACCAGTCCTGGTCCACACAGGAGCTTGAATTTGGAGACTTCAAGTAACATGCCCAGCCGGACGGCACGCTGTGCAGGAGGAGCAGGGCTGCCAGGAGTGCCAGCATCTTCCTAGCCGGGAAGCAAGACACAAGCAGGCTGTAAACGGGGGTGTTGCAGCAGGACAGAGATGAGGGGAGGAGAACACCCCTTCGGTCCTAACTGCTCCATGCCCCAGGCAGGCCTGCTCCATCCAGGCTCCCCCACTGGCGAGAGGACGCTGCAGCGACTCCTGGTGCATTGTGCCCCAGGCCCAGGCAGCGCTAGCCCCAGCAGAGCCCCTCGCGTGCCTGCCTGCCCATTATGCAAAGGAGGTGGTGGAAGGGAACGGGAGGGGTGGGGGAGAAGCGGGGACTGCTCCCCAGTATCGCTCTGCATGCCCCAGGAGCCCTGGCTCCCCTCCCCCCAGGCACGGGCTGTGGTCGCACCGATATACTTGGAGTGAAAAGAACAGGAGTCCGTGTGGCACCTTAGAGACTAACACATTGATTTCAGCGTAAGCTGTCGTGGGCTACAGCCCACTTCTTCGGATGCATAGAATGGAACACACAGACAGAAGATATTTGTACATACAGAGAACATGAAAAGGTGGAAGTACGCAGACCAACTGTAAGAGGCCAATCAATTGAGATGAGCTATCAGCAGCAGAAAAAAAAAATTGATTGGCCTCTTACAGTTGGTCTGCGCACTTCCACCTTTTCATGTTCTCTGTATGTACAAATATCTTCTGTCTGTGTGTTCCATTCTATGCATCCGAAGAAGTGGGCTGTAGCCCACGACAGCTTACGCTGAAATCAATGTGTTAGTCTCTAAGGTGCCACACGGACTCCTGTTCTTTTGGCGGATACAGACTAACACGGCTGCTACTCTGATACTTGGAGTGGGCGGGCGCCTTGGTGAAAAGTAGAGCTGGGGAAGCAGCCGCTCTGCAGTCACAAGCCAGTGGCTTTGTGGGGAGAGGAGGGAGGTGGGGCGGAGAGCAGAGCTGAAGAAGGTCGGGGCAAATGGAGCTAGAGACAGCAGAAATGCTCTGTGCTCTGGCCTGAGCACGGGGAGCATTGGGGGGGGGGGGGCTGCACTCCGGCTTGGCCCCGGCCCCATCCCCATCCCCATCCCCGTTTTCTCTAGCGGACGATCATTCTGGGATGAGGGGCAGCTGTTTTGCGGGGCTGGGGGTTGAGTGCCAGCCCTTTAGCTCAGCGGGACTCTCTGCAGGCTGCCAGCCCTGGGGGTGCTTGGAGGAGGGGCCCGCACCCGCAGGGTTACTGCTGTCCCTGGAGGGAGGGATGCCCGGCCACGACCCAGGGCGATGGAGTTGGGGCGGACGGCCCCCCGGGAGCAGAGGCGTCGTGGGCGATTCGTGGGTGGTCTCCTAGGCATTCACCACTCCGGCCATTTGCAGGGAAGGTCCCAGCCACGACGCTGCCTCTGCCCTTCAGCACCACAGGCAGCCCCCCCCCCCCCCCCCCGTGCCAGCCTCTTGCACCTTGTCTGCTCAGAGCGGCTGAGGGTGAGGATGGGGCCGCCTGGCCATGCCCTGCTGAGACAGCTGCTGGCTTGTGGCTAACGGGCACTCCGCTCCCCTGACGTTCACACCTCCCCACGTCGAGTGAGCCCGGGCACCCCGCGCTGCTCGGTGGCACAGGGCGAGAGGCACCTGCCCGCTGGCCCTGTCCCCATCCTGCCCCATGGAGCCCCCTGCCCTGTACCTGAGCTGTCGCCTGCCTCCTGCCCTCGGCTGCGTCTGCTCCTCTGCTGTGCGACTCGGCGGCTGGACAGAAGAGGAACCGGCAGTTCCTCTCCTGCTGGCCAGAGCTGTCACAGCGCGGGGGAGGGGAGCTCGGTGGTGTAGCTAGAGAGCCAGGACGGGGCTTGGGGAGCAGGAGGGGAGCCCTGCCCTCACCAGCCATCCCGGGCTGTGTGCTAGCTCTGGGCTCCTCCCTTCTCTGCCACTTTCCCTTTGCTTTCGTTTTTCAGTCTGGCATCCCCCCGCGCTGGGCGCTGCCGAGCGAGGGGCGTCTGCCGGGCCCAGGTCAGAGCAAGGCCGTGCCGTCCTGGCACATCGGAGCCAGGCAGCAGGGCCAGGACAGTGGAGATTGGAGCGGCCCCATTAGGGAGGCTAACTGGAGAGTCCCTGTCGGAGTGGGGGTGCTGGGGGGCTCCCAGCTCTGGGGTGAGGCCCCGCTGGGTAACATCACAGACCCTGCAGAACAACGAGGGAGTGAGACGGGGGGGGGGCAAGGCTGGGCCTTTCAGCACCGCTGGGGGGTTGCCCCAGCACTACCCTCGGTGTGAAGGGCCTGCACAGAGGGGGAGAGTGCCCGAGCGTGGGCACTGCTGCCGTCCTGTGCCATGGCATGGAGCTCCTGTCCACTGCCCACAGGGAAGGGGGCAGGGGGCCCAGGCTTGCAGGCCCTGCCCCACCAGTTCCTGATGCCCCAAGACGGAGCATGGCGCTGACTCGGCATCCCGGGCCCAGGAAGGAAGTGAGGGTTCTGCTCAGATGTCACAAGGAGCAAATGAAAACTGTGAAACCCGCCCCCCCCCCCCCCCGCCACGCAGGAGAAAATGCTGAGCGAAGGGCAGCTGCATGCAGAGGTCAGCGAGCTGGGGCTGAGGGCGCCCAGGGCCTGGCGGGGGGCTTGGGGCAAAGGGCTCAGGAACCTTGTGGCCCCCCCTCCCCCCACTGACCCATAGCCTCCCTTAGCTCTAGGGTGACCAGATGTCCCGATTTTATAGGGACAGTCCCGATTTTGGGGTCTTTTTCTTATATAGGCTCCTATTACCCCCCTCACCCCCGTCCCGATTTTTCAGCCTTGCTGTCTGGTCGCCCTACTTGGCTCTCAAGGTTCTGCATGTCAGTGTCCAGTGCTCCTGGGGCCCCTACATGGAAGCCCCCTGGGCCAGTGCACCCCCTCGCCCTCTCCTCTGGCCACAGACACGCTGCCTTTGGCCCTCCCCTGCACCATGTCACTGCAGACACCCTGACCCCCTTTCCCTGGGCACTGTCTGCCATGCCGGGCCCTGGAGAGCAGCCTCCCTTGGGCTGTTGGAGGGACACAGCTCCCTCCCCTAGCAGCCCCCACCGTGGGCACCACACCCCTGACCCCTCCCGACCAGGGGCCCGGACTCCTGCTGCCCCTGCAGGGCCACTGCCAGATGCTCCCGAGCAGGCGTTAGGTGTTCCCCAAGCACCCAGCCCAGCCTGCCAGCAGGGCCAGCACATCGCAGCCTGCTGGCCCGGGCGGCCTGGCAGGGGCCGGAAGGTGCGTATCGCAGATCTCAGCCCTGCAGCTCCGGCCTGGCTCGTCCCCTTCTCACGCCTTGCCAAGTGCCTGAATCCAGCTAGCCCAGGTAACCAGAGCAGGGCCAGTGAGCCGCGCGTTCCCCAGGGTCCCTGCTGGGCTCGTAACCCGGCTTTGCTGCTGTTGTGCCCACGCTAGCGAGACTCGAGCCCCCCGGGGCAGGCCCTGGAGACAGCCCCTTTGTCTTTGATGCCAGACCCAGCTGGCGTCCTCAGCCCGGCAAGCCCCGAAGAGCCCCTGGCTCCCCTCCCCCCTTCTAGCCAGTGTCTGACTCGGGCTTGGCAGTGAATTGGGGAAGCTGGGCCGGGTGAAGCAAAGGCAGTTACAGTAAAAGCAGCTTGCAGGGGAAAGTTCTGAAATCCCCCTGGGTGGCTGCCCACAGGCCAGCTGGGTGCTCCCCCCTGCGCTCCAGGGGCAGGTTCGGCTCCCTGCTCAACGCACCAAGCAAAGGGTCCTGGAAACACGCCGGTGCATGGGCTGCTTCTGCCAGCTCGGCTCCAGCCTGGCTCCCGAGCACACGCGGCTCTCGGACGCTCACCCCCATGGCGGCACCGGGTCTGCGCGGTGTGCCAGTGAGCCAGGCTTCCCCCCCGCAGGCCCCGCAGGGAGACAGGCTGGGACGAGTCAGGGACGTTAAGGCCAGAAGGGACCATCGTGATCGGCTAGTCTGACCTGCTGCACATCACAGGCCCCAGAACCACCCCCCCACTCCTGAAATAGACCCCGAACCTCTGGCTGAGCCACTGACGTCCTCAAATCCTGGTGTAAAGACTTCCCGTTAGAGCGAATCCACCACTGACGCTCGTTTAAACCTGCAAGTGACCCGTGCCCCACGCTGCAGCGAAAGGCGAAACCCCCCAAGGTCCCTGGGAAATCCTTTCCCGACCCCAGAGCTGGATCAGTTGGACCCCGAGCATGCGGGCGAGACCCACCATCCAGACACCTGGGAGAGAATCCTCTGTAGTCACTCAGAGCAGGGGCGGGGAGTTATATGGGCCCGAGGTGCCTGGGTTCCAGCGAATTCAGGGCCCGGGGGACCCGGCTCCACCAATGTTTGGGGCCGGGTCTCCTCCCCGGCCCCACCTGCTGCCCCCGAGTGTCTCCTCCCCTGAGTGTCCCTGCCTGCCCTGGGCAGCTCCACGCTGAGCTCCTTCGCCGGCTGCAGCCAGCTACAAGGGAGCAGGGCCGGGGGCAGCCGGAGGCGGCTGCTGCGCCTGCAGAGGGAGGAGAGGAGGAGGCACATGGCAGCCCCCCCCACCCCCCCGGCAGGCGACTCTGAGTCGACTCTGGGGGGGGGGACACCTTATTCTGGCTGGACCTCCTGAGCAGCACCCTGGGGGGGCTTGGGTGAGTGTGGTGCCGGGGGGGCTGGGGAGGGGGCTGCCCTCCCCTCCCCTCCCCCGGAGCTTGCTGGTGCCGGTGGGGAGAGGGCTGGGGGGAGTCCTCCTCTCTGGCCCCCCACCCCAGCCCCAGAGCAGCCTGCCCGCTGCACCCCAAACGCCTCATCCCCGGCCCAGCCCCACACCCTGCACCCCAACCCTCTGTCCTAGCCCAGAACCCGCATCCAGCACCCAAACCTCCTCCCGCACACCCTCCCCCTCTCCCAGCCCAGAGCCCGCACCCAGCACCCAAAGCCCTCCCAGAGCCCACACCCCTCTTGCACCCAAATCCTCTCTCAGAGCCTGCACCCCAAACCCCCTCCTACATCCAAACTCCCTCCCAGAGCCCGTACCCCCTCCTGCACCCCCCACCCCCCTGTCCCAGCCCAGAACCTGCACCCAGCAGCCAAACTCCCTCCCAGAGACTGCCCCCTCCTGCACCCAAACCTCCTCCCAGAGCCTTAGGCAGGTGTGTGTGTGGGGGGGGACGACTTGGACCCGTTCTGGGCACCACCAAAAATTATACAAATCTGCCGCCCCTGACTCAGCGTCTCCCCATGTAGTGCCCATCTCCGGCCGTTGGAGACATTTACTGCTGGTTTCACAGATCGGCTGAGTCCCATCACACCGCAACCTCGGGCCGCACAGGGCTTGGGTGGGCACTTTTATTTCCCATTCGAGGGGCCGGCAGAGCCGAGGACTCGCTGACGAGTGAGACTGGGGGGCAGGAGCGGGCAGGAGGCCTGGGCGTTTCTGGTAAAGGGGAAGCTGTTGCAGTGAGGAGGGATGGTCGGGTGTGCTGAGGGGAAATCCCAGGATTGGCAATATGCTGACTCCTTAACGAGTGACGCTGGTGTGAGCCGGGAGCTCTGTGCCAACTGGCAGAGAGGGCATGAGGCTGGCAGGGATCCCCTGGGTCTGGGCTATACAGACTCGTTCACTGAATAATGGCCCGTCAGGTGGCTAAGGAAAGCCTGTGTCACACTGGTCAGCAGACGCTCTGTGGAGATACCGGGGCAGTTTGGGCTCTGCACTGGCAGCAGTCGTCTCTCGGTCTGGGCGGGAAGGCAGGTCACCGAAAGGTGGTCGCACACTTGGGGTGGGGGGTGCTTATCTCTCTGGCTGGTCGGGTGTAACGTGAGTGCTGTAGGTTCACCATGGACCCCCATTTACTGGCAAAAGCAAATCCAGACGGGGAGCTCCTGGCTGGGGTGAGGACAGTGACCGTGCAGCGCTGCAGCTGGAGAGTAGGCAGCACCCCCCCCCCCCGTTAGCCTTTGCCAAGGGGAGACAGGCTGCAGCAGGCCTGGGCTTGTGAAAGGCGGAGCTGGTGAGACGGCCTTGGGGTGCACAGCCCCTTCTTGGCCAAGAGGCAGCTTGGTAGCTGATTGTGGCACCAGACTGTTGTGATTTGCTGGGTCACCCTTTGTGTCCGGTGGTTCCGGGGCTACCGCTGCCTTCTTCACTAACGAGCCGGAGCCGGGCTTTCCCGACGAGGTGCTGGGTGTTCCGTGGCGCTGCGTGCGACGGGTGACCGGCAGCCTGCGGCGTCCCTTCCCTTTGGGCCATACGGTGCGCGGCTGGTGGGTCGGGGGCCACGGGGGCTGGCACGTGCCTGGCGCTGCCTGTGCAGGCTGAGAGGGGAGGGCCCGTGCTGCCCGTGGACGGAGGAGGTGAGGACAGCCCCGGCTCCCTCACGCGAAGGGCAGGTGCCTCAGAGCCGAGAGCTGTGCTCAAGCTTCCCCTACACATGGGGCTTTGGCTTCAGGGAGCCCAGGGGCAGGGTGGGATGTAGGTCACTGGGCGGAGGGAGGGTGCAGGGCCTCAATCACACCGCGTTCAGCTGGGCGGGCAGGCAGGGGAGGGCCCCCAAGCGCCCCAGATCCATGTGCCCAAAGATGCTGGGGGGTGCCTCTCCTGGGACACTGGGCCTGGTTCTCAGAGGCCCACGGCTCCCTCCTGTTACAGCCAGCGAGGGGTGGGGGGCAGTCAGCACCTCGCAGCAGCTGGCCCTGCTAGTGTGAGCACAGAGACATGCCCACAAACATCCTGTGTCCTGCCCCCGGCTTCACCCTGCC